CTCAGGCCCCGCCCCTCCTAGCCTCTTCTCCTCTCTGGCCCCGCCTCTACCCCAGGCTCCGCCCCTCTTAGCCTCTCCCACTCTGGCCCCGCCTCTCCCCGCCTTTGCCCCGCGGGTTCCGCCCACGTTCCCTGCAGCGATCTGGGGGCTCCCAGCCCGCTTGCCTAGTGACCGCGTAGCCGTTCATCTGAAGGAATTTCAGCAGCTCCTGGGCCTTCTCTCGATCCCGCGCCTTCTCCTTGGCCGTGAGCGTGTCGTAGGGGACCAGCAAGGGGTGAGTCCCACCGCCTGGGGGGCAGAGATCAGAAAGCAGGGGCTGGGGAGGAGCCGGGCCACTCTCACTGAAGTGGTTCCTGCACCTGCAGCTGAGGGCGTGCATGATTACAGTAAGCAATATGGACATAAGAATAACGGAAGCACTGCTCTGATGCTTGTCACACCTTCACCACAACCCTCCCGTGGTAAACGCTGTGATTCCCATTCTGCAGACGGAGAAGCTGAGTCTCAGAAAGCAATTGTTCAAAGTCACACGGCGAAGCCACGACTCTAACCTAGGCCCTTGTGACTCTGGAGCCTATGACCAGGGGACTGCGGAGAAAAGGGGCTGTGTGGGGTGGGATGGGCACCCTCACCCTTGGCCTCCAGCTCCTGCTTCTTCTTTCGCCCCCACGTGTTATGATAATTTTCCGCCAGTTGTTCTGCCATGGCCTGGAAGTGGATGCAAAGAGTCAATGACCATATTCAGAGGATACCCCCTCCCCAACAGACACACCCATACCCCTAAATAAAGGATCAGGGGTCTCACCTGTAGCTCCCGGGACAGGGTAACTATGCTAAGGTCCGGGGGCTGGGGGTTGTAGCCTTCTCGCGGATCGTAGGTCTGGGAGGACAAGGGGGAGATAAGGGACTTGCTGGGCTAGCATGAAACCCAGGCCAGCCCCTCCTCCAGGCTCCAACTCCAGTCCATTCTACCCCCTTCACTCCCCTGGCCCAAGACCCCTCCTCTGTGTCCTGTGCTTAAGGCCCCCTTTCCCTAAATCACACTGTCCTTCTCTCCTCTGCCCTTTGCAATTCTTCAAACCCATGCCGTCTCCTTCCAGATCTCAGACTTCTGCACCCCTCTTCTAGCCTAGCCCCTTCTCCTGACCCCACCTCCCTAGGCCCCTCTCCCCTCTCAACCCCACCCAGTGCCGGGACCCCGCCCCTTACTCTAGACCCTCACCACCACCCCTGTGACCCTGCCCTCTGCCCAGGCCCTGACTTTACCTGGGCACTTTGTGATATCTTCCGTGTCTTTTTCTTCTCCGTCTTCTCCTCCTCACCCTCCCTGGCCTTCTCTATAGTCCATTCCCAGGCAATCATGGCTTTCAAGGACTCCTTGATGGGCCAACGGTAAATCTCTTTGTCCTGGGGTGGACAGGAGGTGGGGAGTTGGCGGGATGGGGCGAGAGGAAGATGGAAGAAGGAGCCCCGGCTCAGCCTCACTGGCCTGCACGGTCCCAAGAAGGTGAAATCCCAACCATGTGGCTGGGAAGTGATCCAGTCCACATCCAAGCCCTGGCCTCCTACATGCTCTGTAACAGAGCCTACTAAACAAACTCTCCTTATCCCATTTTACACATGACTCAGAGAAGTCAAGTCTTATGGTCAAGGAATCAGACCCACTCCCTGAGTCTTTCTGAGAAGGAACACTAGGAGACTGGGGTCCCCTGTCAGAGGCAACCGAGTTTCAGAGAAGGCAAAGTCCATGGATGGGGAGCCCTAACCCACAGATCCACCTGGATGTAAACCTATGAAGCTGCCTCACTCCTCCCTGGAACCCCAAACCTCCCTGGAACCCCAAATTTGGGGGGTTCATTTTGACCCCCAATGTTGGGTCCCAAGGCTCGGTCACCTTCTCTGAAAAGGTCTTGTAGGGCCTCAGCATAGGGTGGGTCTTCAGTTCCTCGTCTATGTTCTCTCCATAGGACCAGTTGTTCTGGATCTAGAGGTAGAGAGGGGACGGGTGGAGGCAGAATAAGGGGTAGGCAGCAGCCTGGGAGATACAGAGAGGGAAACCCGGAGGAGCGGAGGGTTCCAGAGAAACCTGGGGGTCCCAGGGAAAGCTAGGGTCTTAGGGAAGACCTGGGACTTGGGGAAAGCTGAGGTCTTGAGGAAGGCTGGCAGGAGTGGGGGTTCCTGGGGAAGGAGGACCCTGATGCTAACCTTGTCGAAGGCCCACTTCTCGTGTGTGTACTCTGCAAACTTGTTAATGAAGGAGTCAAGCTTCTCCGGGATGATCACACTATTGGGGAGATAGGTCAGCAGCTGTTGGGGCTGGGCCTCCCTCCACCCAGAAACTTTTCTTTCCTTCATCCAGCCCCAAACCTCACCCCCCACATCCCCCCAGGCCTCACTTGAGGGTCTCCACAGGCCGGGGATCAAAGTTGCCTTCAGCATCCACTGTGGCCTTTTTCTCGGCCTTGGAGGAGTATGAGGCATCCACATAGTCTGGGGGCAGGGCCCCTGCGATGGCGCAGAGACAAGGCATGGCCATGCGGTACAGCTCCGGGTCGTACTTCTAGGGATACCAGGGGCAGGGTGACGGGAGGAAGTCACTGCAGGCCTCACTGAGCTTTCAAACCCCTGGGCCCCAGGACCTCAAATTCATACTCCCCAATCATCACCCCTCCTCCATGAACCCCAAATTTTGATTTATGGTCCCTCTCCTTGAAGCTAGAACCTCAGACCCAACTGGACCCTCAAATCTCCCCCAAATTACTCCTCTCCCAGCCCCCAAACTAGAGGCCCATCTCCTGTTCCATAACCCCCAAACTGAAGCCTCAGTCCATAGACTCTTCTAGATTCAAACATGCAGAACTGCCTCCCTCCCCGAATCCCCCAAATTTGGGGATTTCATTTTGGATTCCCAACTTTGGGCCCCACACCCTCCACAGAGGATTGCTTTGGGGCTCCCTGGTGCCCAGACCTTATGGGCCAGAGAGTCAAAGATGCCCCAGAAGAGTTGTTCCATAACCCCCAAACTGAAGCCTCAGCCCATAGACTCTTCTAGATTCAAACATGCAGAACTGCCTCCCTCCCCGAGTCCCCCAAATTTGGGGATTTCATTTTGGATTCCCAACTTTGGGCCCCACACCCTCCACAGAGGATTGTTTTGGGGCTCCCTGGTGCCCAGACCTTATGGGCCAGAGAGTCAAAGATGCCCCAGAAGAGT